GTTTTATCAAAGTTTATCAAAACTTATCTTTTTTTTTTTAGAAATTTTTGTTGTCCACGAGTCGATTACGCTCTCAGGCATAGGACTGCCAACAACCTGAGAAGGTTTGTGCCAACTCCCGCTAGACTTATGTCGGTGAAATATACTTTATCATATTATTCATCAAATGTCTGGATCTTGATGCTATAGGATAGGGCATCTTTCTGTTCTATTTTCGGTGTGTCTTTATCATCAACACCGTACGCCCCAAAACGATTACTTGCGACCTTGCTTGATGGTTTCACGTATAGCAAAAGGCTATATGTAGACACTTATGCATCGGACCACCGTACGCCCCAAAACGACTACTTGCGACCTTGCTTGATGGTTTCACGTATAGCAAAAGGCTATACGTGGACACTTATGCATCGGGCATAAGCATCGAAAATCGAACCAAGAAGCAAGAAAAGAAAAGAACAAAAATGGGGTGAGAGAGAGGAGACACCGATCCATCTAAAACACCGAAAAAGGAGAATAGATCAGTCCTCAAAGCTCGTATCGAAAAGACCTGGAAAAGTAGGGGGCCAAGGTCTTTCCTAACAAACATAAAGGGCAAGTTCGCGCTAATTTTCCCAAACCCCAAAGACATAGGATTAATCAAGTCCACAGCATGTTTTTCCCAAATGAGGTTTAAAATCTCCCAAACTTCAAAAGAAAGTGACCTCGGGGAAACCACCATCAATATTTTCAAACTCATACCAAAATCAAAATTCTCCAACTTTCAAATTAATGGATAGCCTCATATATTAAATAAGCACGAAACCTTCCCATAAAGCCACATAAACGCTCACGGCCAGGGTCAGTAGAGAGGAGGAAGCAGCCACCAAGGCTCTCAGCCAAGGCAAGGAACGGGGACAAAAGAGGTTCACGGCTAAAGCAAGGGACAGTTGCCAAGACCCATATCCAAAGGCAGCCCAAGAGATAACAAGTAAGGCTTACGGTTAAGGCAACAAAGGGCCCAGAAAAGAACTGTTAAAGCTCACGGTTTAAGGCAGCAAAGAGCAGCTGCTAAAGCCCACAACCAGAGACAACCAGAGGCAACCCAAGGCACAAGGCCCACGGCTACAGCAATCAAAAGAACCATCAATAGCTACTAT